CATTAAGCCGCCCAGGGAGTCAAGCCATCGACTATCAACAGACATCCACGGGATTCGAACAATCTTCACCATGGAATTTTCATAGTATTGAACAGTGAATCTACCATGAACGCCAGCCATTCTCCCCATCAGCTTTCTTATGTCATTGAAAATCAAAATCTGAACTAGGATCAAATTTCCTTCATGGGTAATTAGAGAAATTTCCATCCAAACAAGTTCACGATAATTCCTCGCAATCTCAATTGACTCCATATAGTCCCAGTAGTTACAAATTTTTAGGAACCATTGAATAAACCCACCGCATGCATCTCCTATTAAACGGAAGGTCTCCCCACTCCACATGGATAAAGGAAGATTTCATACTGAAATCCATCCTCCGTACGAAGGCATTTTATCGTTTTTCTCAATATCCCATCATTCAAACTTCACAATAAAGGAACCTACCATCGTCCATCTTTTATTTGGGCACAACAATCTAGCTTTTTCTACATTGTGGCATGTGAAAAGTGCCTTGTCTAAGTGGAAGGGGTTCAAAGTACAAGATTGGTCAGTGGGTTTCACCAACGTCTACCTCAACCTAAACTAGTCATCATGAAAATTTTCACGCATTAGAATAATGGTATAATCCCATTTCAACTCAATAAATCCATCCACTTTGTCATTGTTTGAGGCTAGTTAATTTGTATCCGTCGACTCTTCTAGATTATTCTACAAATAATGTTGTTCCTTCTCCTTAACATTTCGGGTAGACCCTTAGCTAGTTTCCACTTCTATAAAAGGGTGCTTTATCATCTGCTTAATTGAATTTGTTGGACTTTCTTGCTTAACTTCCAGAGCTTCAAAACAATAATGCTCTTTAATCATCCTCACTGCAAATTTCCAGCCCTCTTTATTCTCTGCATATGGAATCACAATATTTTGCTTCCTTTCATTCCCTTCAAGTTTCATGATTTTAGAAACTACCCTCTCTTGTTGCTTATCTTTTGGACCCATAAATTCATTTTACCTTATCGTCTGCTTCTATAGAACTTGTGTGTGCTAGGAGCTAAGGTAAGGTCTATGAGGGTATCAAGAAGCCATAAAAGCTAGAACAAGTCAATGGTGATGTTGAATGATTTCTCCCCTCCTCTTTCCTCAACACAAAACTTCTTCTTATTCCATCCTCTATCTCAATGTAGCACAAAAACTTTGTGCTCCACCAAACATTTAACCACACAAAAGATGCTACATTGTTTGACATATCGATTACAGGCACAAATTTCCATCGCACAAATTTCCATCAATAACATGAGCTATTAGAGCGGGTAGAAGAGGGGAGAGGGAGGCATGATTGTAAGATGCATATTAAAAACATCACTTGATTCATAGATAAAACAAAATTGCACAAACAATGGGTGTGCATTATTGGAAACTAATCAAGGATTTACAAGATAAAGAATAATTCACCATTGATGGCTTGAGGTGGATCAGTAATTTATGATTGGTTAGATTGCTTACAAATCTTTCTCATTAAAGAATTGAAAATCATTTTGAGAATTTCAAAAGGGTGGTGATGAATGATGATCAACAATACTGAGGTGACAGACTAAATAGAATGAAAATAGAGAGACAACAGTCAAAAGATCAAAACCTGCAAATAGCCCAACCTCCGGAAAGCCCAAAAGGCTCGAGTTGACTTAGAGGAAGCCTCTTTGCATATAGCAACCTCTAAACTCTCCTTTCCTTCACGATGCAACAGATTGCACAATGCTTCCTAATTATAATCAACAGTGAGTATAAAATTAAAACTGGCACACACAAAGCAATAGACCAAGTAAACTAGAAGGAAAGACGCACTCCAGAGTGGAGATCATGAGCATCAAGACTGACAGCTCTCTGGTAGCACTTGAGAGCCCTTTCGATGTCAACAGAAAATGTGGCATAATAATCCCCTAGATATTTAAAAGCAGCAGCATTCTGAGGGTCTAGTTTCGCTGATTTCAGAAAATGATCCGCAGCAACCGCCTTATCGTGGCTTCCGCCATTTTCCCACAGGAAAATCCCCTGCATTTCGCGTATGCATACAGGTTATACACTAAGTTCTTTATGAACGAATGGGGAGATTGAAACCAATATGTGCGAAAATTACGAGTTTGAAATGGGAGGAGGGGTCATCTGGATGAGCGTTAACTGTATCTTGCAATTGTCTTGATGTAATATAAGGGGTCCCCGATTCTCTTACATGATCTTTTTCTACTGCAACCTCTTCCTGGTACAAGAACGAAAAGGGAGAGCATTAAGAGAATAAGACAAGGTATAAACTGGGGAAGACCAAAAGAGAGAAAAAAGTGTGTTTGCATTCAACCATCTGAAAAGGAGTCTTCACACTAAATACAGAAATGGACTCCAATCCAAAAGAATAAAAACCAATCTGATAGTTACAAAAAAAAAAAAAAAAAAAAAAAAACAAAAACAAAAGTAACAGAGACCATTGAAGTCGAAAACTATGCTTGAAACAAACAAATTCAATAATAGTAATCTCTCATTTACAAACTAAAGCCCCTTAAAATAGGCAACAAACTTCACTAACCACCCAACTACAACACCAGTGAGCTGAAACTAAAACTGAAAAGAATGAAGAGCTAACTTAACTTGTGGAGGACTTGAAAGATAAATGAAGCCAATAAGAGTGAGGAAAGGGGAGAAAATGAAGCCGAATATCACAGAAGCTGGGTGGAAATTATGTAAAGGGAACCACCTTGATGTGATAAGCTTTCTCGATTTCGGGTTCTGAAGCGGCGGGGGTGAGTCCAGGCACGTCACAGCATTCCGTCTCCTTCACCATCTGGGACTTCCGATCAGCCGAATGATTTGACGATGTGGGAGTTCAAATGTTTGGAGGTTTTTAGAAGAATATTTTATTCGAGGCGAGTCCTTGGAGTGTAGAAGAAATCCTAGAGAAGAAGGAAGAAAGAAGATGAGAGGAGGTTGTGTGCGGTGGGCTATCGGTGCAGGCCCATTAGAACCGTGGAATCCATATCCAGGGGGAAGGTCCATAAGTTTTTTAATTTTATTTTAATTAACATTAAGTTATGGGTGCACCGGCGCAGATTAAGAATCCAAGATTCTTGGTCATCAAATGAATATTTAGATAAGCTCTGAAAAGTGAGTTCAGAGTGCAAAAGTCCAAAAGCTAAAAAGGCAAAACACCACTCACCAACAGAGGGAATCACTAAGATGCCATTCTTTTTCTCTTTCAATCAAAATAGAAATAATGGGAAGCACAACAATAACCTCTCCCTCAGTTTGAATTATTAGGACCCTGTGAATGTTTGATTAATCCACCACACCTAAATGGTGTGAAAGTTGTCTTATTTATAATCAAATAAATTACAAGGATATGGAAATAGTAATAAATGGAAAGATACCTATGATAATAAGGCAAATATTAGATATTTGCCTTATAATAAAATATAAAATATAATATATATGGTAAACTATAATTTATTACTAAATATTCTTAACACCCCACCGCAAGCTAAGCGTCGGATTTAAACGAACGTGAAGCTTGAATCTGAAAAATTCAAAGAGGTTGAGAAACACTTTTCATGAAGATGCTAACAACCCGGTTCTTGGCCATCAAAAATTGCAGAGGGATCGCTGCTCAGCGGCGATGCTGCCTTGGCTTCGGCGAGAATATGTCTAACCCATGAAGAGGGATTGTCGCTTAGCGACGATGCTGCCTTGGCTCTGGTGAGAATATTTCTAACACCAAGAAGTAGAAGGGGAAACGTAGAGCAAGGGACAAAGACAATGTTGAAGCCGGAAGAGTCACCACATTGGGCGAAGGAGCCAATTTTGGCGAGAAGGGCAGTCGGAAGAGTCACCTCATCGGGCGAAGAAGCCAATTTTGGTAGGAAGGGCGGCGGCAACTTGGTTGGCGAATAGGCTAGTGCGGCACCCAGATTCCGAAGGTAAATCTCTGCAAAAGGTTGATAGGTTTAGGTTAGAGTTTATGTGAAAGATGAAGGTTGATTGGGAAGAAAATGAGAGAGACTATATTGGCCAAAAGGAAAACCGATTTGGTTGGAAAATGTGAGGTTGTATGTACAGAGTATGACGAAAGGTGATTTGGAGGTCAATAGGGTGGAGCCGAAGAGTAATCAATCGGCTCCGACTACGGCAGCCATGAAGACTGCCCCTGCAGCGTCAAAACCAGCAGGGGTGGTGGAGGAGAAGATTAGAGGATTCAAAAGCCATTGAAAAGAAAGGATCAGGGTTGTTAAACCGAGAGGACTCTGATACCATGTGAATGTTTGATTAATCCACCACACCTAAATGGTGTGAAAGTTGTCTTATTTATAATCAAATAAATTACAAGGATATGGAAATAGTAATAAATGGAAAGATACCTATGATAATAAGGCAAATATTAGATATTTGCCTTATAATAAAATATAAAATATAATATATATGGTAAACTATAATTTATTACTAAATATTCTTAACAGACCCCAATTCCATCCCCTTTGCATTTAGAAATTATTTTTTAGAAGATACTTGTACATTAGACACAAAATTGTTTACGGGTGGGTGTTTGTTGTTATTATTATTATCATTTGTTTGAAAAGAAAAAAAAAATATATGTATATATATATATTAGTATGGAATTCGTAGGTTAGTGGATATCTCTATCTTCCGTGAATCCGGAGAAATGATTTGAAGAAAGAAAAAGAAAGGCGATGTGGAAAGGAAAACTGAGGTTTAAAAAACGAAAATGGGAATCGAATATTAGGAGACAGAGGAAACACAATATGAATGATACGTATTGGATTGTATTGTAAATGTATTGTACTGAGTTGGAGTGATACCGATGGATGGGCCGAGGTGGGTGGAAGTAGGAACGTGGAAGCAGGAACGTGGAAGCAATCTCTCCCCACTTTCCTCGCAATTTTACTCGAAAAGCTTAAAACACCAAACCTTGACTTTTGTGTCCGCCCAATCCCAATCCCCAAGATTTAGAGCCCCACCACTCTGCTCCTTCAATCAAAATAACTCCTCTGCCTCTGCCTCCGCCTCTGCATGCATCCAGCTTGCAATTTGCTTAGCGTCTATTATTATTCTTTCTACTGCCATGCATATGCATTGTTATGCCATTTCCTCTGTCCTTCCTCAAAACTAAAAAGCACTTGGGTTCCTTATTCCTTTCTTTTCATTTCTTATATCTTATTTAGTCTTTTCCGTATGCAAATTAGTCAAGGGTGCCTTCCTTGGTGGCATGCATATGTGTGTGTGTGTGTGTGGGGTAACATCTTCTCCTCTCTTCATATACTCTCCCTCCCTTTACTATAAATACTCTCCAACTCTGCTTCGAGTTTTATACCCACTAATCTATTAACTGAAGGCCACGCCATTCCAAATCGAGAGACAAGGAGACAGAGAGATAGTGATGAATAAGGGAATGATGAGCGGCAAACCCAATTTGAGGAAGACTAGAACTTTTTTCCTGCACAAGAACCAAACCTCGATGCAGCAGCCAATCATTCCGAACCAACCAGCTGAATCCGGAGAAGAGCATAATAATAATTATATTGAGAAAGAGAGCCCCCCGGGGGCGGTGAAATTCCCAGTGTCCCCTCACCTGATGAATGGGGAAGAGATGGTCCATTTCAGTCACCCTCGACACCGCCTGTCCCGGATGTGTAATCTCAACCTGTTTACGTGCGGCGGGTGCAAGGAGTACGGCGCCGGCAACGGATTCAGTTGCCAACAATGTGATTTCCAGCTCCACGACTTCTGCGCCTTCTCCCCTCCGGCCCTCAAGGCCCACCCCTTCCATTCCCACCACCAGCTTCTCTTTTACTCCAAGCTAGGTGTGTGTGCTATATACCATACATGCTGGGTTGGGCATTCATTAACTAAGTTTTTTTTTTTAATGATGCAGTGAAAGGGGGCATCATGCAGTCCAAGTGCGACATTTGTGCGAAGCCCATAAAAGGATTTGCGTTCCGATGCGGGGTGTGCAGCTTCCAGATGCACCCTTGCTGCGCGATGCTGTCCTTGGAAATGAAGATGCCGTCGGTGCACCCGCACCCGCTGAGGATGGTGGGAGCAACAACATCATCAGTAGTGGAGCAGCCGAGCAGCTTGGTGGGGTGCGGGGAGTGCAAGAGGAGGAGGTCGGGGAGGGTGTACCGTTGCACGGTGTGTGATTATCAGGTGCATGCAGTGTGCGCAAAGAGCGTGAAAAACGGCCTCCGGGAGAAGGGGTACAAGGAAACCGAGAAGGCCAGCGTGCTTGGGACTGCCGCAAGATTCGCTTCTCAGGTGGTGGTTGAGTTCTTGGGAGGCATCATCGAGGGCCTTGGAGAAGGGGTTGGCGAAGCCTTAGTCCAGAACATCAACGGCAAGGCCGCCCCCACACCTCTTCATCATCGTTAATTATCTCTGACTCCAAAATCACACACAAACATATGCCTCCTTTCTACTCTTCCTCTTTCTTTCTTCCTTCCTTCCCTATTATTATTATTATTATTATTGATTTTCTGCATCCCCATCCTGCATATATATTATTTGAAAAATATCTACATATTATTTGCCAAGTGTTTTTTTTTTTTTTTTTTTAATTAAAAAATGGATGCAGAGCAACTATCTGGCAAGTGTGTTGTGTTGTTTTAAGTTGTTTCCATGTTCCATACGTATGAGTATTGGAAGTAGTGTGTGCTTTGTAATTAATGTGTAAATTATTTCATTCAATCTCTTGAGCTTCAATATCAAGGTACACTTTCTTCTCCCTTTACCATTGATATGGCTGAAATTAATAAATTAAGCAGCAGCCTATGCCTAACTTCCATATCCCAAGGAATAATATTATATATTCTGTTGGCCCAACCTTTTCTTCCTCTCTTTGATTCCCACGTAAATGCCACTTGGGAACAAAATATATTTATATAAAGTTATTCAATATGGACGCCAATGGATCAAAACCCAACCTATTCCTTTATTTCCATTTTCCATCTAATTTAACGCTAGGGAAAAAAAATCTAGATACCCGAGTGGCTCGATTTTAAATAGTCGGGCCCAACCCTCCTCTTCTTGCACAGGCACACAACCCCACACGAGTTCTTACGCCATCGAAGTAATGAGTTAAATTTAAGCGATAATATTTAGATATTTTAAATCTTGATGAGTATAATGCTTGAAGCAAATCTAACCTCTCTATACAATTCCACACAATCTGATGTAACATGAGATCATAATTCCACACAATTTGGCTCAACATAAGATCGTCTTATGTCATAACACTCTTAATCTTAATTTTAAAATTATGATTAAGATTGAAAAACTAAAAAGGAAAAAGGGGTCATGTAATTTTTCTATATTGGACGCTCTCATCTACTTGAGAAAAAATTATTTGATTAGGACAGTTTCTAATAAAATTCAATACAACCTTTCTAATAATCTCGGGTTGAGGAAGCTTAAGTAATTAATAAGCTAATGAGAATGGATAAGTATGGAAACTATGATAAACTAATTTAGTTGAGAAGGATAATGGCCCCAACATATTCCATTATATGAGCAAGAAAAAGTTTATTCAAATGTAAATATAAAACAAATCCCTTTCATCCATTTCCTTCAACAAATATCAATTACCATGTACAGAAGTATATTGTTCAAAAAATTGAGGGATCCAAAGAATTGGATGAACCCAATTCAATTGGTACCATTTGAGTTGGAGTTGGGTCATTCCAGCAAAGTTTCTGTCTTGATTTGATCTCGGATTCCGATATCTCGAAGACACAGTTGGAAGGCAATGGCAGATAGTAGAAGGAAGTTCGAGTTATGTCAAAGTGGCTAACGATGAAACAACCAAAACCTATGCCGAAAGAATTTCGAGTTAGGACAGTTGGAAGGGCATCAGGGCTTGGTGTCCAACGGCCGCAGAAGGTGCTAAAAGAACGAATGGCAGGAGAAGAAGAAGCAGCAGAAGCAATGTTAAAAGGCATAGGCAGAAGAGTGGGAGTAGGAAGGGAAGAAGGTAAGCTTGTTCAAAGAAAGTGTGCGCACTCTCTTAACAAGACTATTAGAATAATGTGAAGGGTGGAAGTCAGTCCATTTCAGCTTTCTGCCAACCTATTCTTTCAATTGCTACACGGCACCACAAATATTTATTAATCTCTACTCCCTCTTTTTATTTTATTTTTTAATCATTATTTCTAAATAGAGATGGTCACCAAAGTTCTTCTTAACTATTTAATTATCCAAAACTCTCAAACTATAACTAACTTACACTATTTTTACAGTAAATTATACTATAATGTCTTACTCTACTTCAATATTCACTCATGTTATATAATAAAATAAAACTAACTGACATGGAATCACAAGAAGACTACCAGATGAATAGAATATGAATGAACAGACAGTTGCAATATGTAAATTGAAAAGGAAATCAATGAATGATGATAACAAAACGTGTTATTGTAGGAATGGAAGGCGATGGGTACAGAACAGTGACCTGCACTGGGCCTTGTCTTTGACCAGAAGTCTTGTAGAAGTATAAATGTGATTGGATCAACTTTACATTGTGTTGTTTGAGACAAACTGCAATATTTATATATCAAATTATATTCATACTTGCTAATTACTGCTTACCTTATGGCATGCTACTAAGAAATAACAATTGAATAAAAGAAAAAGAAGGGAAGGAAGACGGAATGGATGGGGGTGAGGGGAAGGCCAAGGCCAAGGCTAAACCAAGCTCCACCGGATAAAATCATACCTTTCTTCTTCAAAATCATTCATCATTGTCGTCCTGCACCTTATGGTGGCGCCTTCTGTTATACGCAGGCTACGCTACATTTCAAAACCTCAAACCTTTGCCTTTGTCCACAGCTGCAAAAGAATACAATACAATACAATCCCCTTCTAACCAATCCATTTGTCTCTACTTCACAGCTTTATTTATAACGTCAGAGCATTCTTCATTTGCTACCTCAACAACTTACCCTTTTCTCGTCTTTATTTTTACCGGCAATAGATTGTCTCATCTTATCAACCCGTGTCCCTTCTTTGGCCCCTTCCTGTTTGCTTCCCCATTTTTTCTATTCATTATCCTCACTCCATCCTTCTCCAAGTCCACTCAAACTATATTGTCCCATAGTCCAAGTTCTCCCATTTGAAGGGTGCAACTAAACCAATGTCCGGGGAACCTCGCAAAAATAGGCACACGCAAACGCACACTGCAGCAATAGCAAGCATTGAATGAATGTAGGGCCGATGAAGTAACCTGTGTGTCCCACTCCCAGGAACCCTCCTGTTGCACTTTGCTGCAACAATAGCACACCTGGAGCAGGATCGGACTTGCGCCCTGCCCCTCTCTCCACTTGACACCTCTAGTTGCTCTATCTCATTCCCAATTCTTAACGAAACTTGACCATTCTTTCTGTCACCAAGTTTTCGCTCCACCAGCTCATTACAAGAATGATTGCCCCTCATTAAAGCATAAGCCCGTGGCGACTGTCCGTTTGCATCAAGTTGGGAACTCCAGCACTCCAACCCAATCTGCAATTTCAAAAGAACACAGAACGTTCAAAACAACGTAACAATGCACTTTTCCTGGGCTAACGACTCTAATAACCTTCTGAGACTTAAAAGAAAAAAGAAAAATGAATTATAGCGAAATTATTTAAAAGATACTTCAGTAGGATATTGCTAAGAAAAATGAGCATTTTTTAAAGATACTTCTCTATTTCTTTGGGGGGAACCCAAGCCGCATTCTGGGGACTTTTTGGGAAGTACACCTAGGAGGTTTTAGAACACAAACAAGTACACCATATATTCCTTGATCTCCATGGAGATCAAAAAACAGAGCCCTCAGGATCATTTGGGACAATGTCAGCGTACAGTAATGCATGCAAAACGAGCATCTAGTCCTCAAAAGGAAATCAGGATACGTGTGTTTACAAGGTATAATTGAAAAAAAAAAAAAAATCGAAGAAGAAACTAGATGTTTACCTCTAGCGGGTCATTTGTCAGTGCATCAACCATATCATCTGCATCTGTCATTGAAGCTGCCAAATGCAGAGGCGTAATGCCACCAGGACCAATATAATTTGGTGGAAAGAGGTACTTTTTCTCAGCATCACCAAAGCCAGATACGTGATAATGAACGAGTAGGTCAACCATTCGCCTGCACCTCCTTTTAACTGATCGATTCAAGAGCTGAATCTCGGATATCATCTCCAAAGATTTCGTTGATAGTCCATGTGTGATCAAGCACTTTTTTACCAAAATGTCAAGAAGTGTTTTAACCAACGCACAGAAGTCCCTCTCTGCTGAGAACGTGAGTACAAATTTAAACCGCCTTATTAAAAAATCTGGATTATCTAAGCCAGAAGACGATCTTTCCCTTTGGAATAGCCATCCGAGTTCATTCAAGAATAGCAAAATTTCATCCTTCAGCCTTGGCTGTGAAGTAACGTATGAATGACTTTCTGAACTAATTTCAGGTACTCTAAACCCATCAATCTCCGATTCAAGATGCCGCAATTCCTTACAGATGGCAGCATCAGCTATGATAACAGGGAAACTATTTCCTCGAAAACCATTTTCCACCTGTTCGAATTGTTTAGAAAGTTGATCAAAACATTGATTTTGTATTAAAAAAAAAAAAAAATTAACCGTAGGGCAGGTATCATGTGCAATTTCAAGCAGAACATATACCTCAATGAAACAACGACCAAGGGCAGTAGGTGATGCATCCTCAACCTTGAAACTTCTGGAGTGTATCTCGTCGTATATTCCCTGCCTACAGAATCCCATCACTTCTTCGGATATGTAGCCACCCATAGATGTGCAATGAATCCTACAGAGTTGTGAAATGTCACTTCTAGAAATGAGAAGGAAACAAAGAAAGGAAGAAGCGAGAAAAGGAAAGAATCACAAAAACAAGAAAAACGAAGAAAAAAAACAACAAATTCATCCCATTATAACACTGGACTTACCTGGTGCCAGGATTTTTCAAATTCCTTCCCCTCAATAAAAAAGAGGTCTTTTGTCCACCCACAACTGCTAAAGGTGACACCGAGATTAATTCTGGATTACTCCATGCTTTTGAGGATTTGTTCAGACGAATCTTCCCTGAAAACCCAATCAGTGGAAGCAAAACTTAACACAAGAAGGACAATGAATTCACAACCTATGGTTTCAAGGACCACGCTGTAAGACTATCCATATCTTCACGAACAAAATCAGAGGTAAAAATGTGATGCTGGTTATGAGTAAATAACCAACAGCAACCGAGCTCAAATTCAACAAGACAAAGACCACTACCCTGGTAAGTTCTCACCATCCTTGTGTGACGCCAGTTGCCTCCCAGTGTAAACTAGAAATCTTCCACTTCTCCAAAAATCAATCTCTTCGCTATGAATCAAAGATTTAAGATGCAGAACCAAATTTTCTTCAAGCTGGGAAAGAACGAGTTAGAGTGGTTAGAGCTCAAAAACGTTCAGCAGTAAAATTTCAGTTCAGGATAAAAGCTCTTTACTCACCTGTTCCCATGCAATGGGTGTCATAGACAGATAAATCGACAGAACCACACAACCAGGCCGGATGTAGCTTTCCATTTCAGACGGACAATTAGACAGCCAATTGTATATCTAGAACATTAGAGGCACAACTTTTAAGAAAATTTTTCCAACATGCGATTGCAGCATTTTTTTTTTATTAAAGAAAATTAGAACCCAATAAAGAAATTAGAATCTTACTTGTGTCCGCAATGCCCCTGGAAATTGACTGGGATCCTTGTCAAAGAGTTTAAAACTTATCCTTCCAGTTCGGTCCTGAATAATTTTTTTTTCAAATCACAATAAAGAATGATGATATCAAACACACACAAAAAGATACACGCCCATACATACAAACAAGAATGTATTCAGCAGGATACCTGGGCATCAGAATTTAAACTAGAAGGTGAATGATCAGACCCTGAAGAAGTGTATCCAGCCTGATATGGAACAGGTCGAAATGAATTTGGTCCAGCTCCATCTAACTCTCTGAAGAGTTCAAAGGGAATATTGCTACTAGGAGGCTTTCGAACCTCAACACCACTAACTTCTTTTCTGATTGGTAATTTCCCATTACTGTTCGCTTCTTCTCTGCTTTGCATGGGAAACAACTTCTGCAGGAGAGGAGGTGAAGATGACGGAGACCTCTCTTCAATAGGATTACTGCTATCAGAAGAAAAGTACTTCCTAGAAGCCGCCATGTTCGGTGGGGTATCATGTTCAGGTGAAGAGCTAAACAGCTGGAGTGCCAAACCAACTCGAGTTCCTTGAACTTGTCCATCCGAATCTTCCATGGGAGACTGATAACTGGTACTGCTTCTTTCTCCTGCAACTGAAGGAAGTTCCAGAGGCCTATTGTGGAGATCAGAGCCAGATGGGCACGATGACCGTGTTTTTTCACTATCACTGCTGAGACTGCTCTTCAGAGACAGCACTGCAAGAGCATCTGGAGCCGATGCTGCTAAAGTAGCTGAAAGTACAGTAAGCAAGTCCATGGTCGAAGGAGAAGATGAATTTCCATTTAATATGTTTTGGTGCTGCAACGAACCCTGTGGAGGAGCCTTCCCCCTAAAACTCTCTAAATTGGGCAACTTTGCTGCAAGGTCTGCTGGTAACGGAAGCGAGTTGATCTTATTGAGGATCTGAATGAGATGGTCACTATTTGCTGACAACAAGCTCTTCACAGTCTGGTCTTCGTTTTTTCCTGATGTTTCAAATCAAGGCATTAAAACAAAAGTCAGAAAGGGGAAAGAAGAAACAAATAGCTATAGAGACTGGATCAGGCAATTGCTTGACCTTGAGCCTTGGCTAGGGCAGTCAATAGACTGACGATGTCCAAATTCCCACTGCTTTGGGGTCCTCTACTTCCTGGCCGGGTCGGCCTTGAGGATACATCCTCGGGCTGCGTCTTCCTTCTACGCCAGTTGTGCCCTGCAAGTCTCCTCCTACAACTCCTCTTCCCATCATCAAATTCCGAAAGAGGATGAAACCTGAGGAGAGGGTTAGGAGCAATAAGAGTTTATTTGAAGAGGGAGGCAGATTGATATTGAATTTCTGGCGCATCAAAACGAAGACAGAAAAACAAAAAAGGCATATACCAGCGGGAAGCATAACAACGAACAAGTAAGAAATTGTAGGAAGGAAAGAACAAAATACCTGCTACACTGCTGGCAGAACCGCTGCATCTGTCTAGCAACTAGGGCTTTGGAGGATTTGCTATGGAGCTCGCAAACTTTATGCCTGCGGTGATAGTCTTTGGCATTCGATAGATCTTCCTTACAATTATCAACCTGGCACATAGGGTAGGTGGTAGCAGCGCCGGGAGAAGCAGGGCGGACCTTTTTAGGGGGTTTGGACATGGGCTCCTCAACGTAATTCAAATTCAAACCACCACCAAGATTAAGGCGAAGACTCTCATCCTGGTTCTCCAGAGCCTCCACTGTGTTGTGCAACGTGGAGGGAGTAGCAGCAGCGAAATCGTGGGTGGTCTTTAGGTCGGATGAGGGAGTATCGGAGTGGAGAAGCGGAGGTTTGGAGGGTTTGGTGAGGAATCTAGCGCTATCCCAATCCCAAGCCTTAGGGTTCCAAGTATGAGCATGGAGTTGACCCTGAGGTTGCAAGTGATGATGGAAGTTGGGGAGCTGATATGATAAAGCACGCTTCTTGGGGATGGAAGGCACATCAGTGTAGCGACTGGTCAAGGTTTGGCGGATGAAAATAGGAGGAGCAACTTGGGCGCCGACGTCGTCCATGAAGAGGAAGGAAAGGAGGGGGTGGAAGTCGAAAGAGAAATAAAGGGAGAATTATGAAGTTAGAGAAGGAAGAAGGGGAAACTTAATCCATAGGAAGAAGAAAGTGAGGGGAAAAGAAAGGGGAAGAGAAAGGGGAAGAGAATTGGGAGTGAATCTACGTGATGAGACGGCGGAAATGGAAAGCAGAAGAGAGGGGGGGGAAGAAATGAAAGGGGGGGAACAGATCGGCCATGGGTGGAAAGAGATTAAGGAAGAGAAGGAGGGTGGATCTGAGATCTGTGAAGGGGAAGGGGAAGGGGAAGAAGAAGATGAACACGAAGGGGACGCGTGGATATTAGATGAAAATCAGTGGAGTCGGCAAGTTGGGATGAATCGGACTAATAACTTACTTACTGGGTACTTCCTGATACCTTCGCTGCTGTACGAAACCGAGAAAGAAAGAGAGAAGAAAAGAATGGCTTGGTAGAAACCGTAAATTAAGACAACAACAGAGTTAAATGTTTGAACTAAGGATGGCCGCCCTGGAGGAAAACAAGAATCAATCCTCCTTTATTTATTTATTTATTTATTTATTTTCCTTGGCTTGGGTTTAGGGTTTGCACTTTGCGGGGAAACAGATTTATATATATTTTTATCCTTCAGTCCGTGCGAGTCTGACACGACGACTTCAAACAAAAACACCCCCGCAAGGATATTGTTATTTTGTATTTTAAAAAAAAAAAAGAAAAGAAAGTAATTAGTAGGGTGTGATGAGATTAAAGGAAGAGAAGAAGAAGAAAAGTACAGTTTTGTCTGAGAGTGAGAGTGAATATTTATTGGAAGCGGTAAAAATTAGAGTAAATTAAAATTAACCAGAAACAAACATGATAATGGGCTCTTGCAATTGGGGTCTACATTTGAAAGAGATTAGTACCAGTAAGGAGTGGAGTCCGGAGGAGTCCCGGCCCCACCCAGCTGTGCTCTCTACGTCCTGTTTACGGGTCATTCTAAATCATACATCTAACCCAACACTCACGCCCACTATTTCTTTTTTCTTTTTTTCTTTTTTCCTTTTTTCCTTATTCTCAAACATTTTCCACATTTCACTAGATTATAATTATTCTCAAACATTCATTGTCACCTTTTTTTTCTAGTACTAATACTAATGCGTCTGTCTTTCCCAACAATTTCTCGCTCATTCTCTCAAAACTTACTAATCCATGCAACTTTTTCTACGCAAATAAATTAATGAGACTGTATTTATTTTAAATTTTTAAAAAAATAAAAAAAACTAAGGATGAAAGGGTTTATTCCATTATTCCAATTTTATACCAATTCACCATTTATGTCAACGATGCAAAACCGATAGCTCCTAAGAATAGTAGCTTTACGATTAGATGGTATAAAATTGAATTATTTGTGGTGTTGTTTTTGGTAAATTCAAGGACACTGTTAGTTGGGGAAGAGTAGAGAATTTAGTCAAAATTGATGTCCGGATGGGATTGTATGGAGCAATTATAAATTGGGTTTTACTATTCTAGAATAAGCACTTAATAGTGTTCACACACTACAATTACAACTACAACTACAACTACAACTACTACAACCTGGGCTTTCTTTCACACGCAAACACAGCCCGCCCATACCACCTCCCATTGTTATGCCTGTCTGTGTCTTACTCATGTAATCTCTTAATGTACTATTTCAAAATAACTGAAAGATTAATGGTTTTGAATATGTTTCTTTCCAACCAAAAATAAAAGGACAAGCTTCACTTGTATTAATTAAAGTAGTTGGATTTGAAGAGGTAATTTATTTCCATAATATTACTCAGTAACCGCTACGGAAAAGATCAGGTTATAGATTCAAAAAAAGAAAAAAAAAAAGAAAAAGAAAAAGATATTAGGGGTTCGGGATAGGATGAAAACATATTATCGGAAGCGTTGACCACGGGTAATGGAAATAGTCAGATCCATTAGGCAATGGGGACTGGTAGGGGCACCCAATAAACGCCGTCGTACACAAGACAGAAGATGGCACAGTAGCAGTGGGACCAGGATGATTCCAGTTCCGGATAGCTACAATGTCAGTGCGGGCCCCTTGTACGGAAGCCGGACCCATCCATAAACGTGGACGTCTCACGGCAGGAGCATATGCTCCACCCCACACCCTCCCTCATCTGCTTCTATTCTACTCTCCCAGTGGAATCTCCTCTCTGTATTTTCTTTTTTTTTCTTTTCTTTTTTTTTTCTTTTTCTTCTTTCTCCACGGCCCCAAAAATGCAATGCAGCCTAAATGATCTCACACTCTTCCAAGGACGATAATGAAATACTACTTAGTAATGGAAATACTTCATTCTGTTAATAATTCTCAAGGGTAGAGAGATGAATCTTGAAAATAGAACCAAAGAATTAGCCTACCATATCTATCTATCTATATCGTATATCCTTCCTTCACCAACTAATTGTGTGCCACTCTATAACTATATAAAATTGAATTGCATTCTAAATTTGGAAACCGAACCAAGAAGATCTAGTAGAGAAGCTGTTGTTGTCCGACAAAGAACAGCGCCAATACAACCAGGGTTGTCAGAAGAATCCACATCCATGGTTGCATCCTCCTCTTACCCCGGTTTCGAAGTGGCGGAGGCATTGACTTTGTCTTGCTCTGCTTTGTGTACTGCGATGCTTTTTTAGGCCGCCTCTTCGCTGCTGTCCCCTGTTTACCTCTGTTTTCGGACTCCTCCTTCGGACCTTCTGCTGCTGGGGTCTTGGTGACTATAGCACATTCCATTTCATCCCGACCATTCCCAGCTTCCGTCCCAGCTGCCAGCTTCCTTTCCTTCTTCTTTGCTCTTTTCTCCCTTAGCTGTGCACAACAACACATGTTAGCTATCAAATTGTAATTCATACAGAAAAGAAAAGGAGCATATTATTATTAAGTCCATTACAATTAAATATATACATGCACTGAATACCTTCTCTCTCTCTTCCGCCTCTTTCCGTTCTTTAATTGCCGCCCTGGCCTGAGCTTTCTCAGCATTTCTTCTTTTCCTCTCCAACGCCTCTTTGGCTTTGGCCTTCTCTTCCAACTTACGTCGCTCCTTCAACTTGATTGCTTCCTCTTCCTTTCTCAACTCTTCTGCTTTCGCCGCCAGCTCCTCTTCCTCTCTTGTTCGCTTAATCTCCACTGGTCGCGGTGGCTCTTCTACCTCATTCTCGCTAGAGATACTTCTGGGGCCACTCTCTAAGGCCACAACTGTTTCCGGCTTCTTTTTTGTCGTTCGATTCTTCGTTTCGGCTACTTTCGTCACTGATTTGTCATTGTCTCTCGCATCATCAGCATCAGCAGCGGGTATCAATTTTTCTGTTTCCTGCATTGTTGAAACCGTTAAAAGAGAATTGTCCTTCGCTGGTCTCTCCTTTACAATATGGTTCGGTACATGCGGCTCTTCATTGGGGCCAAGGGAGCGGCCATCCAACGTCTTTAGTCGCCACAGGGTACTCCTCATGTTGCTCTTAATATATTCTTCCCTGAACTCGGCATTTGTGTTCCACAGTTCCATCATGCGCTCTACCTAAAATATTAATCAGTCAGAACATAGAAACAACTCGACACCCAAAATGAAACCCAATCAGAACTAGCAACACCGAATCAATAACAAAAAGTAACCTGATTATGTCAACAAAAAGAAGGTAAGAATAAAGTAACCTGATTAACACACAAACGTTGCAGTCTCTCTAGATCTCCACTCAATGCTATTTCATTGGCTTCCTTTGCGTCCTTCCGATAATTCCAGCAGTATTTGTTCTGGTCAAATTTCAACGGTTACACTTTCACTGGGTGACACTAGTTAAAAGGAACCCCACTGGTGGTGAAACGCCAACGGAGATAAACATAAAATGATACATATGTACAATTGCAACAAGATCTATTTGAGCTAAAAAGTACCCCAGGCCAGGTCCCACCTCGTACTTTTTAATCCGAGACTGAAGAATTCAAGACAAAAATGAAAACCACTATCCAATCTATCCTCGTCACAAAGTTACAATAGATCGTTGGGAACTACCTTCCTACGATGTCAACTTCGTTCCATTCTAACGTGATGAAGGAAAAAGACCCTGACCCTCATACCTTCGACACTTATTTTACACACATCATCTTCTAAAATGCTTACCACAACTAGATTAAGAGCAAAAATCACGAGTACAAACCTTCTCAGACAATTGCTTCCTCGTACTCTGTAAATTAGCATATGCTTCTTGGCGAATCTCATCGGCTGCTTTAAACTGGGATTGCAACTCGTCCAGCTTTATGCTTTCGTCATTATATTTCTTCTTAGCAACCTTTATTACTGATTCGGCTTTCAAAACATTGCCCCTCAGTAAATCCATCTCCTTTCTTAATAGCTGTGGGGTACAATTAATAAGTATCATGAGAATATGCGTATTTAAAACAAAATTGAAGATGCATTGTCTAAACCTTATGCTGCATTGCTAGTACTTGAAATAAATATCTTATGCATATGCATCTTTATCTTATGCTGCGCATTGCAAGTAGTTGAAAACATATATAGAGAAGCAGGGTATTATATATTTTACAGATGGATGCAGATGGCATAGAACAAACGTATCAAACCCTAGATCATACCTTTAGGCGCTCTTCAATCTGGTCCCTCTGGTCCAGTGCCTGTTGAAGCTCTTCCTGCTTACCCATAGTTGATGAAAGCTGTTCCCGCTGCTGCTTCAATTGCTTGATTTCACGAAGTAATTGCTTTTCCTCTTTTAGTGGCAGCGTTTCATGCTCTATCATGTGTTCAGTGTTGCGTATCTGCATACATTGAAGCACGATGTCACAGAACGTTGAAAAAATAAATGCTGGGGGCACAAGCATGCACATAGGCAGTAGGGGCGAGGACAATTGCTGAAAACATATTTAACTTGAAGATGAATAGGTGCTTACCCTGCCATCGATATCCTCAACGGACATTGCATTCTTCACTTTTGTTATCACTGACTGAACAGAGTCTATCTCCAGTCTTTTTGACTTCAGCAAGTCTCTTGCAGCTCTTCCTTCCGACATTGCTGCTTCAAGATTATCACTCAACGCTTTACATGCAGCCTGATCAGATAACCATTTGGGCCATGAAAAGATGTATAAACACACACACACACTCACACTCACACATTAAACTTCGAAACAATTTGTTAATGATCATTATTACCCTCATTGTCTGTATTTGAACCCGAATGGCATCTCGATCCTTGGTCTTCCGATCAACTTCTGTCTGAGCACACTTAATCTGCTCTCTTATATTTTGATCATCAAATCTAGGTACCTTAACCAAAAAGTTAAACGGCCTTGTTCCTGCCTCAGCCCCTACATTTTGCCCCGTTAAAGCATCAGCAGAACCTTCTGGAGAAACAGGTGAAGGTTCATTCTGGCAATCCTCATGAATGACCTCAGTTTCATCTTTCGTCAGCTTACCGTCAGTTTCAAAGACAACATCAGAGATTGAGTTCAGATTCCCTTCATCTTTTATCATGGAACGCTTGAGAACTTCAGTTTTTGACATACTGCAATCATCGCCAGGTATAGTTCTGCTACCACCTCCCATGGAAGATGTAATCTCGATGTCATCCACTGAATTCTCGTTAGCAGTTAGACTTGAGCTGCTTTTGTTATCATGCGATTCCGAGTCTGTTTCAACAGCAGAACTTTGTGGAATTGCAGGAGATTTAACGACACCATTAAAAACTTCAGGAACAGTGGAACCTCTCTCTTCACTTTCAATTGAAGTACAATCCTTAGATTTTGATCTCATATCATTACTGTGGAAAGTTGATTGGTCGTCTTTTTCGATGTGACCGTTCTCACACATGATCTCAAAATTAGAGTCACCAAGAAGGTCATCCTCACGATTTTCACTGACTTCCTGATCCGGTAGGACATCATCACCAGCAGAGGCCACATTTTCAGACATTGTATAATGCTCAACGTGAAGATCGGATCTCAGAAATGGATCATTAAGACAGTTCACAGAAGGCGTTTCCCTTATTTCAATCTTAGTATTTCCTATCACAACAATAGATACTGCTGTTTCAATGCTTTCCACTCGCTCAATGTCCTCGGGGATTAATTGACTGCCAGCAACAGAGTTGTCACCACAAGCAATTCTAGATTGGTCGAGTGCAGTGGGCATATCATCTTCATTTCCAGAGACTGTACATTCCAAATCTCCAACCTTGATACATTCGTCCACCTTAGGTTGAGAAACCGTCTCTGAATTCTCTTCCAGTTCGAACACATGATTCACCACTTGTTCATTCACGGTAATCTCACTTAACTCTACTCTTGGATCACTAATAAACATCGTAGGAGATAATATATGAGTTTCATCAGTAGCAATATCATAATCTACAGAGCCAGGTGAGGATTCAGTAAGGTCATGGAAGCTGGTCCTGTTAACTATAGTGTCTTTGTCATCAATAGCCTCCAAGGGGTCATCTTGATCCATACTAGTTGGCAAGCCATCATCCGTCCTAATGGGCATAGAACCATTTATGTCTTCTGGACAGACCAATGGACTAGGAGTTGCTTCCAAATCCTGCTCCATGTCCGCTTTGTTTTCTTCTGAGGGCTCTAAAAGAGAAAGTTCATTATTTAAACTTTCTTGTTCCTCACCAGCAACCTGGAAACGTTCGCCATCCTGACTAATTGTAATTTGAGTGCTCTCAGGGTTCTCTTCATTCAATGCAACCCCTTGTTTACATTCCCCTTTAACGTCTTCCACGGAATCATCAAGATGATCTACCTCGGATTTAGCAGCACCCAAACTTATAATTTGAGATTCTCCTATTCCTCCTACAGAATCGCTTACCACAGCTTTACTTACCATCTCATCAACCTTCTCTTGAACATTAACACAATGGCAGTCAGCAGCCTCCATCGTGGCATCTTGTGATTCTCGAATGCTTTCCTCTCTCTCAAAAGATTCCATCTCAGTTTCTTCACTGCGGTTAGGTATGGTATCAGACAATTCATTGATAACCACTGTTTCATTATCCTCGGGAATTACTTCCCCTTCTTCCCCACGCTTTTCCATGGAAGCAGACGATGTGTTGGTGTCGACTATTTCATTTTGCCCCCTAAGCTCAATGTCCTCCACCTCCCGAGAAGATTCCTCCTCGAGTTCTGACCTAGGATTTGCCTCGGTATTAGACAAATCAAAGGCTTTCACTATGCCATTTTCCTCGTGATTCTGAGTGTCGTCTGCCTTTAGAGATGACTCTACCTCGGTTTCTTCCCCAGGGTTTGACTCAGTATCAGAAAGCATGATTGCAACCGTTCCATTTTCCTTGTGAATCTGGATACTGTCTGCTTTCTGAGAAGACTCCGCCTCAATGTCTATCACAGGATTTTCTTCGGTATCAGAAGACTTCATGATTCCCACTATTCCATTATCCTCATGAATTTGAATATCTTCCGCCATTTGAGAAGACTCCACCTTGACTTCTCCACTACGATTTGAATCGGGGTTAGAAGATCCAGGGGTAGAAATTATTTGATTTTCCTCCTGAATGTGAATGTCTTCAGTTTCATGAGGAGACTCTACCCCATGGATTTCGCCGGAATTTGTCACTGCATCAAAAGGTTCGTTGGTAGCCTGGCCCTCCGGGATTCGAGTTTCTTCCACCGTTGGAGAAAAATTCAGTTGAGGTTCCGCTTCATCCTCCTTGGCGTCAGAAGATTGAAGGACATCCGCCACTCTGATCTCATCCAGAATTGCGTCACTCTTATTCACATGATCAGAAAAATTGAATTGGGAATCCCCCAGTGCATCAGAAACGAAAATCGATTCAGGTTTTCTATCGTCGTCAGTACTCAATTCCCCATCACGAACCTTAATCTCCGTATCAACATTCTGGGAACACTTTGCTTGCCCATTGACATCGGAAGCAACGTGATCATCGGAAGTTGCAGCATCGTTGGAGCTAACGAAAACGTAAGAACCGTCGGTATCATCCTTAGGAATTGCAGTAGCACAGTCAAGGGGTTCTGCATTGCAGGCTTTAGGCAAATTCTCGTAGGTACTCATATCCAAGGTACATTTCTCGTTAACCTCAGAGAAGTCGGCGAGCACATCCATGTCAGCCATCGTTATGTATAAAAAAGACTCAAAACTCCGAAAGACGATCACAAAGGGAGATTGCTGATTAAATCGAATTCAGAAACATGAACATAAAAGGAGAAGGAGAAGGAAAAGGAGAGATTAGAAAGTGGGAAAAGGTAAGAGCAAGTCAACGATATTAAAAGGGAAAGATCTCAACTACAGAAAGGAGAGAGAGTTACCGGAAGCGAAAGCGAAGGAGTGGGTTGAATTTGGCAGATCGAGTAGAGAAGATCATCGAGTTGCAGGCATGAATGTGGATAATTGCAGGTGCAGATCTTGAGAACTGGTTCAGGGACTGCGGAGAGAAGAATTAAGGTCTGAGAAAGAGGCAGAGTCGTAGATGAGAGTGAAACAAACAGCTGGCGAGGGGAAGAAGAAGGAGAAGGAGAAGGAGAAGAGAGAGACTGGTCTCTTCTCTACTTGCTATTCTAATATTTTTTCAAGTCAAATTAACAAATCTACTCCTTAGAAATTACTTTAAAAAGAGCTGATTTTATTTTATTCAAAAATCAAATCAAAAATACTTTTTTCTTTTTTGTAATATATATAATTTCGCATTGGCGTAATTTTATAAAATGCACGTCCTGCTATTTACACTAACATGGGCCACGTTAGTGTCGGCTATTCCCTGTTGTTTTAATTATTATAATATTCATTTAACTAAAAATAAAAAATAAAAATAAGAGGACAGTCAATAAATGATCATTAATTAAATCCATAGGTTATAAATGGATGTTTAAATAATGTTGATTGTCGCTACGCCAAGTTCATTAATTATACAAGTAATCTTTTCGATTATTCTTAAATTCTACTAAATTACATATCTTCATTGATGAATACTTTATCAAATAAAATCTAATAATTTAAAAATCTAAATTCGATTGGTTAAAGTAAAAAAAAAAACAAATTTTTATTGCTTTTATAAAATATTAAATTAATTGTATCTAATAGATTTAGTTGTAACGATATAAGATAAAAGATCGCATTTGTTTTCTGTCATTTATTTATCCAACTGATTTCAGATATTGTTTTTTTTATTTTAAATAATTTATTTTAGATATTGTTTAAAAAAAAAAAAAAAAAAGATTTTCGATGGTATTTTAAAGCTGCCTAATATTTAAAAAACGAAACGTTGAAAAAGGAGGAGAGAAAGGTAGGGGGAAAGATTCGAATACCGTGGAGATTTGGAGATTGGAGTGTCGGTGGGATTATTGTTAACTCCAAAATCTGAATATGCCGTCCGATTCTAACTAATCTTCTGGTACACAAATAAAACACTTCTCCAGCCGATCACAGTGGGTGCTAGGATAGAAACAGAAGATGAAGAGAAGCACGTTGAAGCGTGGGTTGGCTCGCATGCGCATCCAGGTCCCAATCCATATACACAACAAGTTGACCTACTACAAGCCTGTGGAGGGCGTTGTCAACATTCTTTAAAAAGATTATCACACAACATGGCTTCTCCAAACTTTATACCACTCTTTCACTCTTCACCATTTTGTAGGGGACCTGTGGCTGTGACCACTGCAGGTGGGTTGCTATACTGATTCCTTAAAAATCATGGGTAGCAGTAGACCTATACTTGGCCCCATTTCAACCCTACAAATCCTTCTCGGAGCTCCCAAATTGGAAGGCCTACACTCCCCCCACGTTCACCACCACCCTCAAACATGAACTCTACCCTATGCCTTCGGTTCCCCCATCCCTTTGAACTCATCAAATTACCAACTAAAATGATACAATAAAATCATGTCCTCCACCTCAAAGTGGCCACTGCGTTCCTCTTCCTTGCATAAATGCCTCAGGATAACACTGTACTGCTAATCCATTCGGCTAAAAACCTAACTATAGGTTCCTAAGCACTAATCACCATCTCAAAGAAATCCCTACAACTGTTCCCACTTATAGCTCTATATAAAAATTAATCAACCACCTTTTACTTCAATCATTTATCTTTAAATAACAAATATAGTTCCAGACCTTTTTTTCTTTCTTCACAAATAGGTCTCTAAACTTTCATCAGTGTCTAATCTCTAAACAAGTTTTCAAATATATGTCTAAAATGTCCTATTGTACACAAATTAAAATGAAGTTCAATGCTATATTTAACATTTTTAAGGTTCAAGATACTTTATTAAAGTTGAGTAAAATTTGTTTCAAAAACAAATTTTACCAAGCTTTAGCTTCTCAAAGATGCTTGATGTACGACAGATAGATATAATGACCACACCATTAAGTATTAACTTATCAAGCAACAATCTCCCATCTAGAACAGCATGATTGTTTGTCCATCCCTTATGAACACTATATAGATTTGAGGAAACTATACTTTATAATCCAGATTCCAATTATAAGCTACTTCATGATGAGTTGAGCAGGGAAAGAAAGTTATTGTGGAAAGGGTCTGAAACGTGTTCAAGAAGGTTTTGGATTGGTCCCTTACCCGTCAAAGCAGCTTGACTGTAAAATCCTAGCCAAGCAACCATGGCTAACCGCCCATTTTTAATCTCTTTCACTTTCAGTTCCTCAAAAGCTGCAGCATCCTCGGACAGGTTCAAGGGATCAAACAACACACCACCTGGATAATTTATATCCCCCGGCAGATATATTCCCAGAGGCTCCAATGCCTCTATGCCACAATATCTTGCATACTCAGGTCCAACCTACTTGCATTTTAACTTACATCATACGGTTGTAAGAACAATCAGACATATAATAGTTTAATATGCCCTCTTAACAATAGACAATCTCAATTCTTCAACATCTTTAGTTAATAACATCCTTTCTAATATTAACTCAACAAATGGTATCATCAAAAGTTTAGTTTTTGTGGAGGAAATGAGGAGTCAGATAGGTCTTAGTAGTTATGACTTGGAGTATAATTTTCAAATTGTTAGTGGCATGAAAAGGTTTCTAATGAGGCACTTGATGATGAAGGTTTTGAAGAAACTCTTTGTTCTATTTTTCAAGAAGACAAAATTAATTCCCCTTCAAAGAACACAGTCAGATGATTCTCCATCTTCCCCTCTCATCAACTTTCTTCCTCTATAAACAAAGGGGCATTAAATCTATGGAGATTATTTCTTTGAGAACGGGGTTTTTGCCTGTACTTCCGTTCTTTCTCCTTGGAATGATCTTGTCTTTGGCTGATGTTTTTTGATTTGCTCTTCGGCCTTTAGTTCTTGGGTGAAGTTACTGCTTCTTTTGGTTTTCTTTGCAGTTGAGTTTTGCTGATAGAGCTTTTGGTTGTTCGGCCATGTGGTGTTCGTGCATTTCTCCATGGCAGTTGTTGCTTTTCTTCCTTTTCTGGTGTGATATTTCAAGCTGGTTGGTGCGGTTTCTATTTGAAGCTGCGGTGGTTTGAGGAGCTTCACATTAATGTTTAGCTTTTGTTTGTAAGCTCTCTAAGAGCTTTTTGATCTACTAGTCTTGCATTTATTTATTTATTTATTATTTATTTTTTTTTTTTGTTATCGTTGGCAATTCTTTAGTTCCTCTTTTTTGTTTGGTTTGTTTTGGTTTCTTTTCAGGTTCTTGTAATCTTTTTCTTTTTTCTTTTTTCTTTTTTCTTTGGGCGTTATGCTTTTCCTATCTCCCCATTCGGAGGTTCATATATTTTAATTCTCTTTTATTCCTTTTCATACACCAATGAAAAGTTACACTTGTTAAAACAAAAAACAAAAATCTATTTAAATTTTTTTTTCTAACGTGTAATCTCCGAAAGGAAAATTTTAATTCCAAATTCCTAAACAAGCTAATCAAGGGCCAAGGCTGGTTGTAGAAACTGCAATGGGAACCAAGCCATTTATTGTGTTTGGTGGGAATGGGGTGAAATTTGATTGAGGTTAACCAACTCAAGTTAACACACGTTATAATGTCATGCTTCCCTCAACCATTTAACTGAAGTGCCAAAAGATATGACAAAAAGAAAATGTGAGAAGGCAGAACATAAGATTGTTTGATATAGGTTACCATCAAAATAGCTTGGCAAATTGCAATGACGATCACTCCTTGGCTTCCAGCTAAATGAAGCCCTGGAATTCCAAGATAGTCGAGTGTATCTCCCTGGTGGAACGAGAACACAAACAGTAACATGATAGAGTCAATTACAAGTGCTGGAAAGTAGGGATGAATGAATGGGGAGCTACGCACACCCATGGAGTTTATAGAAGGGAATATGAAATATTGTAATTGAAAATGTTTGTCCCTAATTTATTGAAACAAAGTAGCGAAAGAGTAATTGAAATAGAAGACAGCAACCGAACTCAAGCTTATCACGGCACTGAAAGACATGAAGTCATAACTCATTATTTGATTTCATTAATAAAGGATGACATGAAAAACTAGACTTTAAAATAAAACATGATTAGACAGAAGCAATAAGTTAAACAGTAATTTGAAAGTGAAAAAAAACATAACCAAACAAGCGTAAAAATATAAAAACAAACCATGCAGACACACGGAAAGATCCTATATGATGGATATCCAGAAAAATGGTTAACCAAGAGATGGAAAACAAACCTTAAGTTTTGAATATCCCACTCGCCACCAGATGGGTTCAGTGAAATGAAAAGCTCCAAAAATATCTAAGATCTCTGGAACTAAAGCACCAAGGGACGCTAACATAGCCCAACGAGCATGCAGTATTTCAAAGCTGAAATATGATACATACATAAAAATTATTGATGGAGGTTTAAAAAAGAAATGTATACATTCAATAAGAGTTGCTTATCTAAGGTAATTTAGGACTGTAAAGTTATACTACGTACAGAACAGCTCAAATATCTCCAAAGTTGGATAGAAAGATGTGCAGTACGCAAGTTTTGTATCAAGCAAACAAACATGTGGATAATCATTCGGGGACTGTTTTAAGGTGATGTCTATATTATGTTATGCCGGATCATTTCATTACTCTCACAGCTTATATGCATTGATAATCATCATGTCGTCCCTTAGTCTACCGGCCACTCACAAGTCAAATAATCATATTCTCTCATGGTGTGCACTAATACATCTACATATGATTCCAGATATTGGAGAAAAAAGAAACTGAGAATCATATTCTCTCATGGTGTGCCCTAATACATCTACATATGATTCCAGATATTGGAGAAAAAAAGAAACTGCTGAAGAATCATATTCTCTCATGCTGTGCACTAATACATCTACATACGATTCCAGATATTGGAGAAAAAAGAAACTGCTGAAGAAAATTTTAGGCTAAAAGAAGCTCAATATACTTGAAGTACTTCCGAAAAGCCACTGGATCCTCACTCAGACCTGCAATATCAAATCCATAATCACCCGGCAGTTCACCTGTCAGATATTTTGGATAATTGTATGGTAGTGGACCAAGCCAGCGAGGACGCTTTTCTCCATACCACGAGCTGCAATTATTCACCAATAGAATAGTATTTACAACACGATGCAATTTGATTCAATTGTACCATTCGTTTATATGTTTTCTGGCAGTCAAAACATTCATAGTTGGATAAACAATAATTCATAAGATCACATCCAATCCAATGTAAATTAGTACAAGCAAAAGATCGCAGCCATGTAATCTATTTCAAGAATGAAGAAGATTTGCAAAGCATGAAAGATACTAGAGAATAATCTACATGAAATAAAGATAGCAAATTCCCGAAATCCTTTAATAGCATGAAAATTTGAAACCCTTTTTAAAAAATGTCCATGTCATTCCTTCAAAATTATTAGTTGGACATAATTTGTTGATTCTTTAGCGAACGTTACATATTATTTATGTCCGGAACCAGGATACATAAAAATGATGGAAAATTCAAGAGGAACGTAGGAAATCTAAAAAGAAATTAAAATGAAATAAATATTTAAGAAATACTACTGGCCCAATGAAACTTCAAAAATTAAATAGATATCCAAAATTTGAAATGGAATATTCACCATAACTTAACTAGAAGAACATTTATGTGGCATACATTCCACCAGGAACTGGCCTGGTAGTCAATAGAAACCAATATAAATAAAAAAAGGAATTTAAAGGAAATGAGTTCAAGTCATGATAGCCAAAAGATTTAAATATCTTACAAGTTTCCTTGGCAACCGAATACAGTAGCAAACATTTTTACTTTTTAGTAACTAAATGTTGTTAGTTTGTTTTACTTGGTCCAAGTCAAGTACCTCGTTCTGTTACGACTTAGCTAGACATTTGGATATATTAATACTTTGTTGTATGGCACTTTCATCATAATAATAAAAGTTGGTATACTAGCCGTAAATTCTGAGAAAATTTGTGAGAAAACCTTTTAGATGAATCAGATATCTTTAATCTAGCATATCGAAGACCAATGGTGGCAGCAATGAAACATAGATTTAGCACAAGGATTAGAGGAGAGCAAGAAAGATGAATGGAGAGAATGATGCAAATAGGAGAATATCTGAAGGCTATGGTCGAGGCCTGGGCAGAATGGGGTGGGGATGGAGGAGGCTGTGACGGACTACTATCTTCAGGCCAGAGCAATTATGGGAGCAATATCCAGTTTCTTAATCCAAACACATTGCCAGCAATGAATCACTAAGTTTAATTGTCAGCTAGTTGATAAAGAATGGTGCAACAGGGGTTAAAGTGCCCAAGTTCATGTTTCAGGTACTTGTTATTTCGTTGCTACAAATTTATTGCTTAATTCAAAGAAATATTGGATACTTGCCTCTGCCGCTACTAGTCATATCGTTCCAACAGAACAAGTATCCATGACAATGAAACCAGTTGATAATGCCTCGATTGCTTTGCCCAGAAGAGACGCTAGTTTGTGTACTTTATGGCAATGTGAAGCTCAACTGTTTGAGCTTAAAGATATTCCAGGTTCCAAACGATTCCAATAAGTTTTAACCATGAACCCTTTGGTTTCTACGTCTTCTTTAAGAATCACTGTCTTGATCACAATCTACTCACTTTGAACATGACTGATAACACCACAATGCATGAAGTTCTATGGGTTCTAAATACACTTTAATTCAACGTGTATGTAATTATTCTAAAAATACGAGTAGACCAACTTGGCGTTGGCGTCACCAAATCACGCGTGCATCAATAAATAAGCTTACCCGATTACCTATCTTTTCTAGCCTGCTCAGCAAGAGCCTTGAACTTCGAAGACTTGGCGACCGCAGCATTTTTTTTCTTTTCCAATTGCCTCTGGAGCGACTCTCCGAATGGGCTATTGGCGATGGCTTTCACGGCCGTGAAAGGAATTGCGGAGAATATCAAAATCCCCGCAAGCTAAAGCATGATGAAGAAAATAAAAAAGACTCAGCAATCAGCGAAAAATGGAAACAGCTAGCTTGTTTTCTTACAAACCTCCTGCCATGAAGCTGTGCAAGTGAAACGATGAGGGATGGAGGGGCTGTTTCGAAGATTGAGGGCTATGGTGCGCGAACGGAGTTGTTGAAGAGAACTCCCATAGAATGAGGCGGAGGAAGATGAAACTGCAGAAGGCGAAGTGTGTGGATGAAATAGCGCCATTACCATCTATGCTATTAGAGTCATCACTGAGCTATAACGCACTTTTATGGCGCGTTTAAACATCAGATGTTTTTTTTGGTCAAATTTGATTCTCTCCTCCTTTCTCCCCCATAGTCCACACTCCTTTGTCTTTTCCTTTTTTCTTCAAACAGCTATTTCATAACTCTGATTTTTTTTTTTTTTTAAATACAACAAATACTTCCCTGTGTAATTAAACTTATTGCAAAAAGTATTTAATAAGGAAAACAAAAAAGTATCTAAAAGTTGTTTCATAGACCAATAATTTATCCTACGAACTCTTGGGTCATAACTTTTGTCTGTGCCCTAAAACCATCTCTAAAGACAAAATGAGTATTAAAAGAACTCACTCTCCTATTATGAGTAAGATATGCAAACCACTCATTAATCAAATAGAATGACTCTAGTAGTTAGTTATCTCTAACCTATTTGGATGGAGAAAAATAAAAAAAATGATTTCAAGTTCCTACCAATTTTGACAATAATGAAAATGGAGAAGTTTTTTTGTGAATTTGATACTTGTGTTTTTTGGTTTGGAAGGCCTCCAATGTATGTATGCCAAATGCCAAAAATGATATAGTTGATGGTCGAGGTGCAAGTAGTGTATTACCGAAATTGTTTCGAAACGAAAAACAAAAACATCAAACACCAAACGTAAGCCAACTCATTCTTTAATCACTAAGACTTCATTAACTTCTCACATAAATCAATTTCATTCTATTAACCGGTATAGATTAAAAGGGGTTGGTCGATAGATGCAAGTATAAATTATAAAGTTTAGAAAAGTATTTTCGAAATAAGACTCAAAATTCAAAAATATTTTTATTAAACTTGGCAAGTGCTGCTAAAACTCAAACGATCCCTTTTGGAGCTCTTGGTCTAGATCCATTTCTCCAATTTAGGGTTTTTGCTTCCCTTCCTACTTTTATCTTGCAATAGAACCATCGGTTCGGTTCATCATTTGGTTTTAATTTGAATTCCACTTCTTCTCCGTCGAAACCTTTTCAATCAGGTCCAGAATTGTTGCTCAAAACTTTTTCATCTGATCTCCAATGGCTGAACACTTGGCCTCAATATTTGGCTCGGAGAAGGACCGTGTCAACTGCCCTTTCTATTTCAAGATCGGCGCCTGCCGTCATGGAGATCGCTGCTCTCGCCTCCACAACCGCCCTACTATTTCCCCGACACTTCTCTTGTCGAACATGTACCAACGCCCCGACATGATCACCCCCGGCGTCGATGCTCAGGGCCAGCCTATAGATCCCCGAAAGATTCAGGAGCACTTTGAGGATTTCTATGAAGACATTTACGAGGAACTTGGTAAGTTCGGTGAGATCGAGTGCCTTAATGTCTGTGATAATCTCGCCGACCACATGATTGACAATGTCTACGTTCAGTTTTGGGAGGATGACCAGGCAGCTGCCGCATTACAAGCGTTGCAATGGCGGTTCTACTCTGGTCGACCCATTATCGCAGATTTTTCTCCGGTGACTGATTTCCGCGAAGCCACGTGCCGCCAATACGAGGAGAATAATTGCAATCGAGGGGGATATTGCAATTTTATGCATGTCAAGATGATCGGGAAGGATTTGAGGAGGAAGCTGTTCGGTAGGCACCGGGGATATAGGCGGAGCCGGAGCAGGAGTAGAAGTTTGAGTCCGCGGAACCGGAGGAGTTGGATAGGCGCGAGAGGGATTACAGAGATCGTGAGTCTCGCGGAAACGGACGGAGCAAGGAGCGTCATGATAGGTATGATAGGGATGGGGGAAGGAGAAGGCATGGTAGCCCCAGACGAAGCAGAAGCCCTGTGAGAGAAGGAAGCGTAGAGCGCCGTGCCCGTATTGAACAGTGGAACCGAGAAAGGGAGGAGAAGCAGTGAAGTGACGACGTGTTTTGGTAATCGTTCTGTGCTCTGTCATTTAATTATATACCTTACACCACAGTACTTTCTGCCTGAATAGGAAGTAGAAATCTGCTCTAGACAAAACGGTGGATATGATATGATATCAAGTAGCCTTTTGGTTTGGTTACCTGCTATTCTGTTTCTAGTTCATGCTGTCGGATATGATTTCTCAGCTATTTCTATCTCCGGTCGTCACTCATAGACTGAACTTCTGCTTCTTCTTCTGTTTATTCCCATTACTTCCTTTCTACTCGCCTGCTTCAATTTCCGACTTCTTCTGTTTATTCCCATTACTTCCTTTCTACTCGCCTGCTTCAATTTCCGACTTCTTCTGTTTATTCCCATTACTTCCTTTCTACTCGCCTGCTTCAATTTCCGACTTCTTCTGTTTATTCCCATTACTTCCTTTCTACTCGCCTGCTTCAATTTCCGACTTCTTCTGTTTATTCCCATTACTTCCTTTCTACTCGCCTGCTTCAATTTCCGACTCAGGCAGGAACAAGATAGGAAGGAAATTCGTTCGCCAATTCGCTACTAGTTCAAATTCTGGTTGATATATCAGTGGGTTGGATTTATTTCATATAATAGATAGTGGGTGGACATGTGTAACAAACAAGTTTTTTCTGTGTTCTAGTCAAATTGACGATTGTGGAATGAATATGCGGACAAACTGTGCATGGGGCTTTATTACTTACACAACTGGTAATTCCAGAAAATCCAAAAGGTTGTTCGGCACAATTGCTTGGAATCTAGTGAAGCTGACAATTATGGCCTTGGGTTGGGGTTTTTATAGTTAAGTAAGAAATGGAGGAGGGGTTATCCATGATTCTAAGGGAATGGGGTTTTGGACTTGAGATTTGGCATGCCATCTGTGGTTGCTGTCCACTCCATATTATATTGATTTTGGTATTGACATGCCTTTCTGTCTTCCTCCTCTCCTCTCCTTTTTCGAGGGGTTCGATAGAAATGGTTCGTTATATTATTGTATAGGTATCGAGGAGGGCTCAAATGGCATGCCACCAAGTCTCGTTAGGAGGGGGTTATGTGGAATTCAGTCGTCAATTTTGTTCATGTACATCAAATATGCTGAAACAAGTGGCATAGGGACATTATGTTCCAAGTGTTTAGTTGGTCGTTAGCTTCATATTTTCTTCCGATGACAGGGTATTGTTAGTAAATCGGGACAATCCTAACTTGTATGTTTTTGAAACAACACCCCCTCCTGTTTTTTTTTTTTTTTCTATCAAATGATCCATGAAATTGTAGGAACAGAGGCTGACTTGTTTAAAATTAGAATATCTGCGCAACATTTTATTTGGGAAAATACACTAATGTGTGGGACAATCCGCCTGACGGCCCATGGGCGTAGGCCCACAAAGCCCATCAAGGCCCGATTGTCTGTTAAAGAGAGGAAGTTAATGGTTATCGGGGACCACATAAAATTTTTAAAAAATACTTAAAAGCAAAAACAATGGTCGTGTGTGTTGTAGGAGAGGGTGAAGCCCACGTGTAAAGGAAAAGACAGGTGGACGACTGGGTGCCACCAAGCGACATCCTATTGGCTGGATGATGTAGTACGCACAATTAGAATCATGCGTGGCGCCCAAGTTTAATTCTTTTCATGCACCCATTCTGATCCACACACGTGACAAGATCAGCCGTCAGAATTCAGTCGTGGGTAAGGAGGAGCACTGTAACAAGGTCCGCACCCTAACAAATCCCTCGTACCCCCGCTTTTTTGTTTCCTTGCTTGCTGCTTTAGTTCGAATAAACACGCGCTTTCTTCTCCGCCTCTGTCATTGTGCCTTCGCGGCAGTTTCTCTTTCAATCCCATCACATCCCCTCTCCTCTTCAACTTCTGTAATTTTCTATCCCTCCCTCCCTCCCTCTGTATATACTCTTTCAGTTCCTCATCTCTCTCAGTTTTCCCCGTTTAATGGAGGATCTCGAATTCTCCGAATATGACATAATAGGACAGATTGATTGGAACGACTTCTTTGATGAATTCCCAGAGGGAATCGGTGCTCGGGAGATGGAACCCCCTTCTTTGGGGGAGTCAACATCGCCTCTGGGGTTGTCTAACTCATCTCCTGATTCGATTTCTTCCTGGATCAACGAGATCGAGAACGCTCTAATGAACGATGATGAAGAGAAGGAGGTTTCCGTTCCTATTGACGATTGCTGCGATAGTTTTTTGGCTGACGTACTCGTGGACTCTCATGGGGGAGCCTCTGTAATCGACATCGATTCCAATACTTCCGATTGCAATAACGACTTTAGCAATTGCCAGAAAGAGGATGAAGATAAGGTTTCTCCCGCTCCTGCTGGCGATTACTGCGATAGTTTTATGCCTGAAGTACTTGTAGATACTCATGGGAGGTCCTCTGGGGTCGATGCTGTAGTTGACGTTCCGTCCAATGCTTCCGATTGCCGTGACGATTCAAACAACTCCCAGAAGGAGAAGGTCGACGCAGCAAACATCGACGATAGTGTAGACGAAGATGCCGGAGATCCTGTTTCCAAAAAGCGGAGAAGGTATTGCTACTGAATCTTTTGAGTAGGCATTCTACTATTTGTAATCAATTAGGAGGTTTCGCCATATTAGTTTTAAGCCTCGTTGAACATTTATAGTTTCTGCCACGTAGCTCTTCCATTTGTAGTGGTAGTGTAAGTGTTTGGTTTTCTCTTTTGAGATCAAGAATTAATTACAATAAGTCGCCATATACCCCCAAGGACCTTATTTCTCATCTGGGAGTCTTAATTCGAGATATCTGGTATGTTTGAAACACCAAGAACGCGGGTAGAAAGGGGTCTGTATGGGGGGCAGCCGCTTCTGTGGCATGAAACGTTTTGGTGTGCTTTCTCATCGATTACGATGCATATTGCATCCCTTCTCCCAATGGGGGAGGATAATAAATAATCGAATAACCGTGATCGAAGATCATTTTATTTTTTAGTAGAAGCTGACATAATGCATGAATGCCATTCGAAGGGATAACTGCAATGTATGAATTCGAATTTTCCAGGCAGCTGAGAAATAGGGATGCAGCCGTGAGATCTAGGGAGAGGAAAAAGATGTACGTTAAGGATCTAGAGATGAAGAGTAAATTTCTTGAAGGTGAATGCCGGAGATTGGGGCGGTTGCTCCAGTGTTGCTGTGCTGAGAATCAAGCCTTACGCTTTAGTTTACAGATGGGAGGCGCTTCTGGTGCTTCACTGGCCAAGCAGGAGTCTGCTGTGCTCTTGTTGGGTACGGTTTATCTTTTCTTATGTGTTTTTCCTTATCATTTCATATATGACAAAATTAAATTTTCTCTGCCGCTGTTAGTTTGGATGATTTCGCAAGGGAAATAATTGAATTGTTTATAAGGTAAAGTTGCAGATATTTTCCGCATCCATATTATTAGGAACTTTTGCTGCCTTGAGAGTAAGTAGATGGAGGGAGTAAATCTAAGGCCCTGTTTGATAACCACTTGGTTTTTGGGTTTTCGTTTTTAATTGTGTTTGTTACAACATCTTGATTGTGGTTTTCATCTTTCCCAGGTGATTTAAAACTACTGTTTTTTGTTTTCAAAGTTTGTCTTGGATTTGAAAACGCTCCTAGAATGTACACAACAAAACATAGAAAGCAATAGGTATAGTTTTATTTATCCTTCCTCTATTTGCTCACACACACACACACACACAATGGGGATGGTTTTGTGGAGGTAGGAGAGTGAAACTAAAAATTTTACTTTTAACTATACATCCCAGTTTAGAGGGTGACCACTAACCTCCAGGAAAATGGAAAATTGTAAAAGGGCACGCTTGGGGTGTCAATTTTGAATAAACTTGACTAGTGACATTATGGACCGAGAATGTTCAATGACTGCTTCGGCACTCAGAACATGAGTGATGAGACTACCTGTTTTGGTCTCTCTTTTGCCATCCTCATACATGCATTTGACTGCCTAGTGTGTAATAGGATAAAATTCATAAATAATAGTACCTTTAAGCTTTGGGTTCTTAGTATTAGATTAGAAAATCCTTTTTAAGTTCTTGTGCCTTTACACTATTAACTACTTTGTCGAACGTTTGCGTCAAGCAACTTATGTTTTAGATTGTTCATAATTTTGTTTTTAAGGTTAAACCCATTTTCTCTCTATGTGACTCCCTTTTTAAACGTTTACACTAAGCACTTGACGTCTTAGTGTGTGATATAAATTTATTTAAAGGTAAAACCCATTTTCTTTCTCTGATATTCCCTATTGGAGTTTCTTGTGTGAAATAAAGAATATTTTTGAAGTTCACGTTTCTTTACAGTTTATATTCTTGCCAATGTTTGCCTGATTAATCAATCCAACTGCCAAATGAAGTGGGACAATTTAAAACAACGAGGAAAGGAAAATAGTTGTATCATTTATTTATTTTTATCATTATCAATAGAATGTAATATGGACTTGAACTTTATACCTCCGAAAAACCAATCAAACTGATCACTGATCCATCCTATCCTGTCTTATCTATTGTGCCCATTTTGCCCTCGTCAAGCCGTCATCATCCCTTCCCATCCATCCACAACACATTACACGACCAACGCATCTATTACTACATGTTGAAATCCTATAACCATGGATGGAATTCATCCAACCCATCCCACTCCCTCCCACTTGTCCATCCATCCACAATACACTACCCTAGTAGATGTGTGCCTAACAAGAATCTGACTTTTCTTTCTAATTTGAAATCTACGGTTTGGAAGTAGCAAGTTTGTGTTGAGCGATGTATGTTTTACAATTTGTGATATACATTTAATTTTTCTCTTAAAATTCTACTTTTGTGTTTGTGTTCCATCCTAATGGACAGTCGCTTACTTCTTTTCGGTAGCCTGGCTATCAGTTTTTAAATGATGTTAACTTGATCTGTTAGTTGATTGAGCATCAGTTTTGGTTGATAAGTCGGATGAAAGGTGTAATAAATATTCGTCGTTGTCCTGCAGAATCCCTGCTGTTGGGTTCCCTGCTTTGGTTAGTGGGCACCGTTTGCCTGTTCACTCTTCCTCAACTCCCACAATCAACTCTGGAACCTGTTCCACGAGTAACAGTGGTGGAGGAGGAAGGTCCAGGAAGCGCGCCTTTCAACGGGGGAGGAAATAACAACTCCAGATGCTCGTACTCATCATTACAAACCAGAAGATGCAAGGCGGCTAGAACAAGGATGAAACTGAGTATGTTGGATGCGATACTGGCCTAGTGCAGCTTTGAAGTTGATATAGATAGATGTTGTAGGCTTTCGAAATGATTGTATGGTTTTGAGCGTTAAACTGGATGAACGGTCAGAGTGGGTGAATGAATAAACGAAATTGGTAACTTGACTTGCGTTCTATAGGGATGGAAAGGAAATAGATAGACGTGGAGTTGTCTAAAAGTCTAAATGCCGTATGTTTTGGTGCTTAGTTTATGTTTATCGAAAACCATGGTCGCAGTGATTTTCTTTTTGCACCCCATCTTATCCAAATTTTAGCCTGTACTTGTTTACCGTTTGTATCACTATTTATTTGAACATTGAGTTATTTTAAATTGATTAGAAAACGAACTTCAACGAAACTGTTCATTTGCCCATAGTCTTAGTTGATCAATTCGGAGCGTGGATGCGTTTGTGTGGACAGCTGATCCATTCGGAGGAACGTTGACGTTCTAAATTTGAAGATAAGACCGATGGATCAGCTTTAAATCTCTGAAAACCGTGTTAATCAATCTGATTAATTTAGTTAGGATAGTATTTTGGAAATAAAGAAAAGAAAAAGAAATTTTCTAAAATTCTATTCATATTCTATTTATCAGATGAAAAGTGAAGGGCGTGCGGATAAAAAACACATTAATATTTTGTTGGAAAGGAAAGGGCTTGTTTGTTTGTGCGGAATGGTAAAGATGATGGGAAAGTAGTTTGGGTCAGAAATGAGTTCATCCGTTACCCAATTTGTTCTGTGGTATTTGAAAGTGCCGTTTTCAGTGAGATTTTACAAATTTGGATTTTGATTGGGTTGGGGTGACGCGACGACCGACGCGTTGTCCACAAGCTCCTTCATAATACCTGCACCAATGGCATTATGGTCATTTCATCTACTCTATAAAATGGATCCTTTCGAGATCGTCCCAAGACTAAACCCCTCCATCAGTCTCACTCTCCTTCACCCGCCTCACCCTCAAGCGCGCCCTCCCTTCAACTCTCCTCATGGACTCTGATTATGGCATTCCTCGTCAGCTCTCCGACCTTCAGAAATTCCGCTCTCTCTACCAACCCGATCTCCCTCCTTGTCTTCAGGTTCTCTCTCCTTTTTCTTGCTCTTTCTTTTGATGCTCAGATCTGGGCACATGCTACTCCATTTTTCATGACCTATCCCTGGATCTCCCCTTATTCTTCTTTCTTTGAATTATTATCTACTTATATTTTCCTGTCGCTGCCTTTCGTAGTACTCAAGAATTATTTGATTGGATTCGGTAGTTTCTACATAACATTTGTGCAAATCTAGTTCGCGCCATACACCATAGGACTCTTATGATACGTTCATATACTTTAGGTTGTTCATACCAAATATTTTCTGTTAATGTAAATGGTTTGCTTTTGTTGCTCAACATGTTGGTTTAGTTCAATAAGTACAAGTACCAGTCTGCTTCATTCCTTTTACTAGTGAACCTCCTCCTTTGTGTTTAATCCATGTTCTCTGTTCCATACTTGATTTGTGGGGTGTGTGCCCGTCATGGCTTGTCTTTTTTTCCCCCCTCCTCTATTTGTGCTGAAAACCGAAACTTCCTGCTTTCTTGTGCGGACTTGGCTTAAGAACAGCAAATTGACAAATGTGGTACTGTTTAAATGAAGGGGACAATAATAAATATTGTAATTGAAAATAAAGCAAAACTAGCTACTTTTCCTTTGAAGTTGGTGGCTGATGCAGTGCAGCTGTACATTGTTAAATTTGGACGAGTAGCTTATATGTCCTCATTATATCATTCTACAGGGAACAGCGGTCAGGGTTGAATTCGGAGATGGCACTACAGCTGTGGATCCTGCTGATGCCCCCACCATTAGTCGGGCCTTTCCCCACACGTATGGTCAGCCATTAGCTCACTTTCTCAGGGCAACTGCCAAAGTCCCAGATGCTCAGATTATTACTGAACATCCAGCCATCCGGTGCGTGCATTTGGTGATTAATTTTCATTGCTTATCATCGCTAGAACTTCATATATTATTCAGCTAACTATCCGGATTTCCCCCCGTTCATTTTACATCTTTTCTTTTACATGCATGCGTGTAGACATAAATGTGGTGAATGCATGACCATTTACATTTCATTTGTGACTTTGAGGCTACAAAATAGATATATTGTATGGAAAGCTTCTCTCATTGGTTTGCTACCAACAGGGTGGGAATAGTTTTTTGTGGAAGGCAATCTCCTGGAGGCCATAACGTCATATGGGGGCTTCATAATGCTCTCAAAGTCCACAACCCAAATAGTATATTGCTTGGATTTCTGGGTAAGTTTTCCTCCCTTCTCGATATCGATATGTTTCTTATATGTTTCCTGAATCATGCACGTTGATGCTATGCAATAGTCAGTGCGGTATGATGATGGGTTCTTCCTGAGAACTAAATTGGTGTTTGACGCAGTTTTCTCATACTGCATCTATAATTATGTTTAATAACAAGTGATTTATGCGACTGATGTTTGTTGTGATTTGTGTTATTATCATTTAAACAACTGTGGTAGATTGAGGTACGATGTCATTTCTTTCAACAGGTGGCTCTGAAGGTTTATTTTCCCAGAAAACTCTTGAGATAACCGCTGACATTCTTTCGACATACAAAAATCAAGGTATGCAGTGGGTTTGAATACTCTATTTCAGATATTTAGATATGCAATGCTATATAGAGATTCTTTACATTAGTGGTATTCATGTTGCGTAGGTGGTTATGACCTATTGGGCAGGACTAAGGATCAAATTCGAACTAAAGAGCAGGTTAATGCTGCGCTTAAGACATGCCTAGATCTGAAACTAAATGGTCTTGTTATAATTGGAGGTAAATTTCTTTCTTTGGCTCTGCCTAACTGTTCTATTCACGTGTGAATTTTATGAGTATATGGTATTTCTGAAGGAGTGACGTCAAACACTGATGCTGCCCAGCTTGCGGAAACATTTGCTGAAGCTAAATGCCCCACGAAGGTAATCTCCGTCAGTTCAAGATAGCATGCATATTACTTTTTATTATTTATATAATTACAGAAATAGTTAAAATCCCTTAATGGATTTCAGTACTTTATATTTTAAATCTAGCTTTTAACTTCTCTTGTGGTATTTCATCCACAATGTGATTTTTCCTTCTTGCAATGCATTGATCGAACCTGTACTGAACCATGCAGGTTGTAGGTGTTCCTGTTACTTTGAATGGCGATCTCAAGAACCAATTTGTTGAAACAAATGTTGGTTTTGACACCATATGCAAGGTACAAATTTATCTGATATTTTCCAGGTGGTATCGTGATTTTTATATATGTTTTTTTTTATTTCCTTTTTGAGTCTCTGAATGCAAGAAACACTTCATAGTAAATTTAAATGGCTGAGAAACATCTTATTCTTCTTTCACATCTGTGGGTTTTCACTCTCTTTTTGTAAGCCTTGAAGACGGTTGGTTTAGCATCATATGATCTTGTGTAAGCGACTAAGTTCCCTGTTTTTTCATCATCAGGTCAATTCTCAGCTAATCAGCAATGTATGCACTGATGCCCTCTCTGCGGAGAAGGTAAGAAAAGTAGACGTTACTATTCCACAGTTACATTGATGTTGACTGACATTATTTAGCTTGATATTTGCTTTCCATTTTCCTTCAATATGATAAAAATAATCCTCACGCTCTGTAAATAAATTGCTACTGTTGAAAATTTTACGAAATATCTGTACATATGCCTTGTTTCCCCAGTATTACTATTTTATTAGACTCATGGGCCGGAAAGCATCCCATGTTGCTTTGGAATGTACTCTTCAATCTCACCCAAATATGGTTAGTTTTTCTTACATGATATTGTTTTATTTTCATTGAAGTTGCTTATTTGAAAGTTCTATGGTCATACATCTTGTCCAAAAATTATTGGCTATGCTCACTTGCAGGTTGTTCTTGGTGAGGAAGTAGCTGCATCAAAGCTTACTCTTTTTGATTTGACGACCCAGATATGTGATGCTGTTCAGGCAAGAGCACAACAAGGTCTCGTACAATTTATTGTGCCTCTAATCTCATATTTGGTCATAGTTTTCAGTTATCTGATTTTGTGTATTATGATCAGACAAGTACCATGGTGTAATCTTATTGCCCGAAGGGCTCATTGAAAGTATTCCTGAAATCTATGCCCTTTTGAAGGTTTCTTTTCTCCCTTTCCCTGGTTCATGGAAGCAACACTTCGACTTTTTTGTTGAAAAAACCACGCGATCTTTTGCTTGAAGTAATGAATTTTATTGCACTGCTCAGGAAATTCACAGTTTACTTAGGCAAGGAGTTCTGGTTGACAATATTTCTTCCCAACTCTCTCCTTGGGCATCCGCGCTATTTGAATTTATGCCACCTTTTATCAGGAAGCAGGTTAATGTTTATTTAATCTTCAAAAGTGATGGGATCTCCAATTTTGTCCATTCTAAGTTGTGAGGTCTTTATTAATGTTGTAACTTCATTGTTCCAGTTGCTACTTCAACCCGAATCAGATGATTCTGCTCAATTATCTCAGGTATTGTAGTTCTGGTACTTGTCTTAGATAAAAAGAAAAAAAAAGTGATCTGTACGTAGATACATGATGTCCTTCGTTCTTAATTTTCTTTAGATTGAGACGGAGAAACTTTTGGCTCATCTTGTGGAGGCTGAAATTAACAAGCGTATGGTAAGACGTGCTACATTTGCTTTTATAATGATGCTTTGTTTTTCTTTTGGTGTAATCCTTGTATTTCCTCTATGGGCATCCCCCTGTGGGGATATCTAACACGACTTGTCTTTTGGCCTGCCATCTCGAGAGGGTTTTTTTAGGAAGAGAAAAAGTATGCCTATGGTTTTTTCAGTCGTCGGACTCTGATCTCCAATATTAATTGGCTTTGATCCTTTGAACTGTTTTCTTGAAAATTATCTGATTGTTGTGTATTGCGTTTTTAACAGAAAGAAGGGACTTACAAGGGGAAGAAATTCAATGCAATTTGCCACTTCTTTGGTTACCAGGCTCGGGGATCTTTACCTTCAAAATTTGATTGTGACTACGCCTACGTATGTGATAATTAACAATCTAGAAGTCTGATAAGCATTTTCACCTTTAATATGAACTTTAGCATAATGTTTGAATGTTACATTTAATTCAGGTTCTTGGGCACGTCTGCTACCATATCTTAGCTGCTGGCTTGAACGGATACATGGCTACTTTAACTAACCTAAAAAATCCTGTAAACAAATGGCGCTGTGGTGCTGCCCCGATTGCAGTTGGGTTTCCTTCTTTTCATGCTGTTTGTTCAAGTTTAACCAACTTCATAGTATTGTGGTTATCATTAGATATTTGTCT